ACTTGAGTCTTGTATTTGAAAATCAAATTTTCTATTCAGCTCTGGTCTTTTCATCAAGAATGCTTGACAGTCCTCTATTTCACTGAATGACCATATTTTCCCCTGAAGAGTTATACTCAGTTTTGCTGGGTAGGTGATTCTTGGTTGTAATCCTACCTCTTTTGCCCTCCTGAATATTATATTCCATGCCCTGCGGTCCCTTAATGTAGAAGCTGCTAAATCTTGTGTTATCCTGATTGTGTTTCCACAATACTTGAATTGTTTCTTTCTGGCTGCTTGTAATATTTTTCCTTGACCTGGGAACTCTGGAATTTGGCTGCAATATTCCTAGTTTTCCTTTGTGGATCTCTTTCGGGAGGAGATCAGTGAATTCTTTCAATTTCTGTTTTGCCCAATGGTTCTAAAATATCAGGACAGTTTTCCTGGATCATTTCTTGAAAGATGATGTCTAGGCTCTTTTTTTGATCATGGCTTTCAGATAGTCCACTAATTTTTAAATTCTCTCTCCTGGATCTATTTTCCAGGTCAGTTGTTTTTCCAGTGAGATATTTCACATTGTTTTCTAATTTTTCATTCTTTTGGATTTGTTTTACAGTGTCTTGATTTCTCATAAAGTCACTAGCTTCCAAATGCTCTATTCTAATTTTTAAGGAAATATTTTCTTCAGTAAGTCTTTGGATTTCCTTTTCCATTTGGCCATTTTTGCTTTTTAGGGCATTCTTCTCCTCATTGGCTTTTCTTTTGCCATTTGGGTTAGGCTATTTTTTAAGGTGTTATTTTCTTCAGTATTTTTTTGGGTCTCCTTTAGCAAGCTGTTGACTTGTTTTTCATGATTTTCTTGCATCACTCTCAGTTTTTCCTCTACTTCTTTAACTTGCTTCTCAAAATCTCTTTTGAGCTCTTCCAAGGCCTGCGACTGATTCATATTTTCTTTGGAGGCTTTGGATGTAACAGCTTTGTCTTCGCTGTCTTTTTCTGGTTGTATGTTTTGATCTTCTTTGTCACCAAAGTAAGATAATATTTTTTTGCGCTGCTTATTCATGATCCTGGACAATTACTTGAGTTTTAAACTCTTTGTTAAGGTAAAAGTCTGCTTCCAATGTGGAGAAGGTACTGTCCCAAGCTTTGGGGGTTTGTACAGCTGTTTTCAGATATACTTCTACGGACCTGAAAATTTTCAGTTCTTCCAGGGTGCTATGATAATGGGCGAGGTGTTTTCTCTCCACCGCCACAACAAGTTCCACCACACCAGTGTTCCTCCTTGCCCCAGGACTGCCCCTCAGAACTGTGACCCAGATCCAAGTATGGGTAAAGCAAGAGATTCCTGCCTCAGGACTGGCAAAGAGAACCTTGCAATCCCCCCTTTGATCAGCCACTTGATTCCCCCTCAGTCTGTGGGCCAGAAGCTCAGGAAACAGTCGTGGCCCCGGGCCACGCTCGAGACTTGCGGCTGAGACCTAGTTCCTCTCTCACCGCAGTCACAGACTTTTCCCACTGACCTTCCAAGTTGTTTTTGGTGTTCATGGGTTGAGAAGTCTGGAAACCGCCACAGCTGCCTGTGATTCAGTCCTCTGAGGCCTGCTCCAGGGTCGCTGCGGCCTGCGCACCCATGCCAAACTGCGCTCCTCTTCCTGCCCGGCACAATATACCTTTCAGATCAACCATCCAGGCTGTCTTTGGCAGGAAATTTGTTTCGCTCTGTCTTTTTGTGGGTTCTGCTGCTTTAGAATTTGTTTAGAGCCATTTTTATAGGTATTTTATAGGTATTAGGGAGGAGAGCTCAAGCAAGTCACTGCTTTCCCTCAGCCATCTTGGCTCCACCCCCCTAACTATAATTCTTAATGGAATTTTAAGCTGCCTATGGCTTAATGGTGAAAGTTAGGGATGCTGCCCAAGTAGCAGTATGATATGGTGGTCTGGCATGGAGATTCTAGGTTCAAGTGTTATCCTGAATGCTTAGCACCTGACTGACTTTGGGCAAGCCATTGCACTTGCCTGAAATTCTGTTTCCTCATTAGTAAAATGAAGGACTTGGCTGGGGTGGAAGTCTTCCAGCTCTAAATCTCCAATCCCAAATCTTCCAGGACTCGTCCAGAAAGTGCAGCGGATTGAAGTTCAAAGGCCTGTCCCTAATTTCACTGACTTTTCTATTCAACAAGCAAACCCCAATTGTATTCCTGCTGTTATCTCTTCCCTTCCCAGGAACCGCTTCAGCCTCATATGATCCCTTTTCATTAAATTCTCACCTGTCTTCAGTGACTTTGATATCCGTATTGATTGATCTCCTTTACAATGTCTTGGCTTCTGTGACACTTTTGATGCTCCGCATTAACCCCACATTGGCCCATCCATATCCTGGACCTCACCATGACAAAGTACTGCTCAACTTTTAAAACATCTCAGTGATCACTCTCTTTGATCACAGAACTGGACCACTGGAGCTGGGGAGACAAATTGGATCTGTCCAGTCCATCAGTGCTACCAATATTTTCTCAGTCACTAATGGTGTCCACCTTTGGCCTCTGCATCTAGTCCTCCTTTACTTTCTATTCTCACTTTTGGTGACCTAATTCAGATTTCTTTACCAGTTGCCTGGACTGTTGTAGTAGTTGCAATCCCTATGCTTTCCTCTCTAATCTCTCCCATAAGTAGCTGCCAGATTAACCTTCACAAAATACCACTTTGCACATGCCATTTCTGTGTATCAAAATAGTGGCTCCCCATTATCTGCAGGATACTGGTTAAAATCCTTAAACAGACAGTCTAAGATCCTCCACTATCTGATCTTACCTGTCTTTCAAATAAACTTTTCTCTTAGCCCAAGAAATATTACTCAATGCCTCCAGTAGACAAAGCATTGAGTTTGACAACGATGCCTCTTCTGACCAACAAAGGTTTCATGTAGAAAGTAGCCCTTGAGTACAAATTATTTGTGTTTGACCCATGGTAGATCCTTCCAAGCTCATATTGGTCTCATCAGCCATAGCTAGATACACTGTACAATGACCCTGACATGGTGATGTCATTTTGGTCCTCTTCAAGTATAAAGGTCAACAAACAAACATTTTAACGTAGTTTTGAGAGTTTATAAGAGGTAAGAAAGAGCATTTCAGTTATGAGAGGCAGCCAGTGCAAAAACATGGAGAAGAGGGATAGAATGTTGTACAGGAGAAGGAGCAAGAAGGCAAGTTGACGACATTAAGCATGGGGTGTTCAATCTTGACTAGCCTGGGTTCTGTCATCACTAGATATTTCTTTTTAAAAAATCGCTTTAATTTGTCTCATCTCATGCTAGAAACTAGCCTGTGATGGCTTTATCTCTTTGATTTACTTTTCCTTCTTCCCCTACTTTTTAAATTTTGCTTTATGATGTTTGCCTAATATTTCCCTAATAATTTCAAGGACAGTTAACTGTTGATGTGAGCATACACTCTGCCAGTGCTGTTTGCAGTCTCTCTTTGGCTAAGCAGTTGGCCTTTGAGAGTTGACTTTGGCTACAATATTCATCAGCATGGGTTCCACCTAGTGATGAGCATCTCAATTTACCAAGGCTTATCCTGAGACAAGAGATATGCAGTTCATCATGTGGCTGGTCCTTGGAACCTTTTAACATTCTGGAAGCACCAGAGCTTATCCTCTGCCTTTGAGAGCCCATGTCATGATGAGGCATTGGAGGACTTAGCTGGAGGTGTGCTGTCTTCTACTGAAAACCACATTTCTTCCTAACTGATCTTGGTGTATATCTTGCCTGTTCTCTATAGAGGATCCTTTCTATCTTTTTTATGTTTGCCTGCAGTAAAATTTGGAAAATCCTGAAGAAGATATTTTGGGAGGAGAAAACATACCTAAAAGCTAATTGTGGATACCTGTTGTAAAAAATACATGTCATCTAAAAAATTAATAAATTTTTCTTTGTGCATTTATAAGAATGTAATTTTGAATAATATCCAAGGGATTAATTGGATAATTCAGTCTTAGAAAAAAACTGTATTTGCTGTTTGGGTTGAGTGACAATTTTAGTGGCAGAATTATTTAGGAGTTCTTTCTCTCACTGTGTCCTATTAATTTTTAAATATATGTATACTTAAAAAGCTTCTAATAAATAGAAAAAAAAGAGTTCTTGATTTAAGATATAACACCTCAACTATTCAGAATAGCAAAGTTAACTTTACACTGATGCTTAACTTCTTAGATAAAATTCACTGTGTGTGTGTGTGTGTGTGTGTGTGTGTGTACACACACATTTAGGAAATATTTCAAAATAAATATGCGTGTATTTTAGACTTGGCAGTGATAAATAAAGAATTCTATTTTGGAATTGATACAGACAAAAGATATCAACCATATTTTTGCAAGAGTATTTTCAATGTATTATGCACCAGGAAACTGGAGAGAATAGATTTGTTTCATTCTTTAGTTCATTCACATTCCCAGAAACTCCAATAACCAAGGGGGGAGTAACTATTATGCCAAATTGCATTCATCAAGGCTAGAAAGGAAACCATGTTTTAGGATTTATTGTTTTCCTTTTAACTGAAATATATTGAACTCATTATGCTAGAGTCTTATTGGTGATATGATAGCAAATATGATATATTTATTCTCATTAGCTATGTCGCTTTTAATGATGATTTGATCTTCATAAATGTGAAATGATTGAGTTGGCAGAAAAACAGTGCTTTACTCTGCCAGATTCATTCTCATAATTTTCCCACAGATATCTGAAAAAGATACTATTAAGCCAATTAGGTGGCCTATGTTGACTGTAAATTACTTTCCCTTGCCTTGTGCTTTTAATAATTTATAACCACCACATCCTTTGGTTATGGCCTCAGAGGCTAAGGTGGCACTATTAATTCACCAATAAAATTGATCCCATTCCATTCATGTATTTTGTATTACATTCTCAGTCTGACCTTTGAAACTTGTAAACATTCAGTTTTGTGCTCCCTTGCTCCATTTATGCTGATTAAGCTTTATTTCTGTTCTGTCACCCACAGGTCTTGCAAGAGCAAAATCGGTCCCTAGCCACACATACTCCAATGAAGTGGTTACTCTGTGGTACAGACCTCCTGATGTCCTCTTGGGCTCAACAGAATACTCCACCTGCCTTGACATGTGGTGAGAAAGAGAAGCTTTACACTAGCTAATCTAGCTGCAGCTGTGGATTAGGGTCAACCCTAGACAAATATCATAATCTATGTGAATGAAGATTAATGGGGGAGCAGAACTGGCTGGTGTGTGGTAATGCTGCTAGTTCTTCTCTTCTTCTCTTCTCTTCTCTTCTCTTCTCTTCTCTTCTCTTCTCTTCTC